TTCTTTTGATTGATATGGTGCAAATCATCTTGATAATTGCTGCTCAGCATCGTCATGCAAACTTTACTTTGCATAAATTGTTATTGCTTCCACTATCAAAATCAAAGGTAGGAAGGTAACATTATGGTACTTAATAGGGGTTAGAAGTGATTTATTATAATTATTACTATTATTATTATTATTATTATTATTATTATTATTATTGCATACCTATTTGTTTGATTGTTCATGGTAAATTGTATATTTTAATTCCTTTTAATTACAACATTAAACCTACACATACTTTCAAAATGAATGCATAATAAAAATCAACAATTATATTTAATAGGTTAAATGTGATTCATTAGTAAATAATAACAACTTAATATCAATTTGGTAAATTAATATTAATTCCGTGGTGGTGATTGTAGATATCTCTATTATGTAAGGAATAAAACGCAGCAGTGTGTGCTGTTGGGAAAATAATCAACCACAGCGTGGTGTGTTGCATCCCAAAGCAAAGCGGAGTTACTGTTACCACACCACGTTTTTCTTTCTTTCTTTTTTTGGTTATTTTTCAATAACTGCAAATCTTGTATTGTTTTATTTCTCTTCTATTTTTTTTTTTTTTTAATTTACTAAAGAATATTGTAGATTTAACCTTTTATAGTTTATTGTTGTGGAACATCCACAAAACAAGTTAGTTAACTTACATTATAACAGCTATAAATAGTGTCTCTTTTTCCCATTTAGAAATTAATAATTAAAAAAAAAATGCAGCTTGCCATGTTACCTAGAAAACACAAAGCACAAAGCCATCTGTCCTGAAGCTGTTCCTGTGTCTAAAAACATAAAGTTACAGATTTACCTCTGACTGTTACAAAGCACTGACACTGGAGACTCCTTCCATCACTGCTAAATAAACATCACCTCAAAGAAAACTTCACCATATCAAAAATCAAAAATTGTTTAATCTATAGAATACTGTACTAATATTAGAGCTGGTGTTATAGAAAATTAATCAACTTTCTGACCAATCAGAATCAAGCACTCATGAATACAGCACTGTAAATGTAAATGGGTTAAAATATTCTATATAGAAAATAAGATCATTTTTTTCCTTCTTGGTCTTACTCAGTTGTGTAGTCAATTTCTTTTCACAGTAAGACACTAATGTGAATGAGAAATGAACAGTAATTAATGCACATTGGCCAAGGTCAGGCATGTACAGATGGACGAGGATTTCACAATTTAACAGGACATAATTTTGCCCTTATATGCTACAATAGGTAACAGCTAAGATTAGCACAGAACTGGTTGTTCTCTCGACTGTAGGGCTGAGCATGATGGTGTCATCAATGCAAATCTAATTGATTCAATCTAATTGCTCAGTCTGATATTCCTCCTGCTCTGCCTCCAGTGACAGCACCGACAGCTCCACCAAAATAACCTTCACCATGTATGTCTTACTAAGCTGCTGTGTTTTAACTGCTGGTTGGTAATATGCAGTGGTTTGTGGATTAAGCCATAGCCAATTTTAATGCATAACCTGGCTGTATAATCAGGGATCACAGCCTGAGGTGTCCACTGCCCACCATAGATCAGTCCATTAAGGACAATTACCTTTGCAAAACTTGCCAATCATGAGTCATTCAGAGAGAGAGAGAGAGAGAGAGAGAGAGAGAGAGAGAGAGAGAGAGAGAGAGATTTTGAGAGTTTGAGCTTAATATGATGTGTAATACAAGAACATTTTTCAGTGGCTATATACACTAGGTAAACCCCTTCAGATGATGTGGGTGAGGTTGATGCCTCTGTAGAGGACAATGAAGAGGCTGATGAGGCTTCTTTAAAGGTGTTTAGTGCATTAGAATTTGAATATATTACAAAATTATTTCCTAGGAACTACTTTCATAAGAAGCCATTTTGACTTTTGCTGAGAAATATCACATGAAATATAAAGTCTCGACTAAACACAATATTTTCAAACTTAATATTCCTATGCAACATCCATGCAATGTCTTACATTTTTATTCAAATGCATGATTTTCAGTGTTTGTCATTTTTATCTGCCGAAAATTGAAGATTTTGCTGAAAGGGGCAATATAAGGCAGTTATATTTTAATATTCAAGAACGCCTGATCTTTGATACTTCAAGAAAGTGCTGCGATTTTGAGATTATAATAATATTGGTCACATAAACAGAGTGAAAGTAGAAATGTAGAACTGTACTATTTCATGTGAAGCCATTATTATATTAATACTAACTGAAGATGCATATTTTACTGTATGTTTTATATATTTTGTTTGTGCAAAACAACCTGCTGATGTGCTTTATTATGATTCACATGGCATCAAATGTGTAATTCTCGACAGAACTGAATTTTAGACAGTATGTTTGTATCTCTTGGCTTAGGTTAAGTGCCACTAATATGAAGTCAGTTAGGGGCTCGCATGTTTTCATATGAGTGCAAGGCAGTCCTGTCTGGTGTCAGCGCAGTGCTGTGGCAGTGCATGTGGTAGCTGTGATTTCCGCATTTCATTGCTACTGCTGTCACTTGTGTGTGACGAGTGTGTATGCTGAGGAAAGGACACATATGTCATCAGAGTCATCGGTTATGGATCAGCCCTGAAAGGAAGATCGAGTTAAACCTTTTCTAATGTGTTTGGTGACTTGTTATCAGTGGACTAATGGGATTTCAGCAGAATTCTTGGGAATTGCTAGTGGCTAATTGTACTGGTCTATTTGAACTTACAGAAAACATGCTGTAGCTGCATTGGTATGAAGTCTATTGTAGACTTCTACAGAGAACCCTTGTAGCCTAAAGAACCCACAAACATTCTCACTTTAACTTTTTTGTCAAGTTTACAGAATTGTAGACTTAATCAGTACTTTAAAATCACATTAATTGCCTCACAATTCCATACAACGTTTGGTTATATTCTAGTACCCCTTGAGTACAATCTTATCCTTATTGGTTCTTAAGTTGTTCTTGTCAAGAGGAGAAATGTTGAAGGTTCTATTTAAAACCCTACAACTAGGTGTTTCCTGCTCAGACAAGATTCCATGTAGAACTTCTTTTAATAGGTTAAGAACCCTTCTAAAGTGGTGCAACAGAAGAGTGTTTGCCCTATCATTGGATAATTGCAAGTTCAAATCCCAACAATGCCACACCCATCCATGGCTGGTAATCTAGAGACCAAAATCGGCTGTGCTCTCTGGGTGGGAGGGATGGCATACTCTCTCTTCCCTGCCACTCAGAGTGACACTAGCCAATCATGGCATGTGTGTCGAAGAGGGCAGATAGAGCTTTCATCCACCCTTCACCTTACTTGGTTGGTAGCTGTCGTATGATAGGGGAGAACTGGCTGGGGGTGAGAATTGGCAAATGCGATAATTGGGAAAAAAATTGTGCAATACCCTTAAAGCGTTTGTGGTTTTAAACCTTAAAACTTCATATGAAAGATCATGTGTTACTCATGTTATTGCTCAATAATATTATTATTTGGTAAAGGGACTTTATTAAAAAAAATACAATTGCAAATTCACTCATAATTTCACATTTTTGCAGTAAAAAAAAGATGTGGCAGCATGCCTACAGCTTTTAAACAACACCTTTTGGCCAAACTTTTTTTTTTTAATTTTTGGTCATTCAGCAGCAGGTTTGGTGTATCATCACCCTATATGTGCTGAAACAAGATGGCTTAAACCACCACATTTCTATTTCAAATAGGGACAAAATGGGCAAAATTAGGCATAGACAAAGCCTACTTTCACAGGAAAGCTGCCTTTATCAGTATGTCATGGTTACAATTAGGAAGTACAAGATGGGAAAAAAGGAAGCAATTAAGGAAGTAAAAAAGGAAAAAATTTATTTTATCCTGGCAGGCATCAGAAATCTCAAAACAAACGAGACAGTTAGCCAGCTAAGTAACTAACTAGCCTATAATAAATAGCAGAAAGAAAGTCAAGAGATATTGTTCTAGTGTTCTCTCTGCATTTCTGAAGATTATTGATAATAGATCATTTTATACATTATTGCATAATAACTTGAGTCTAAAGGGGATGGAAAAGTAGGAATACAGCATCCTTGCTTCCTCCCTCTGAAACAGTTACTTTACTCGTCTGTACATTAGAGGTTATCAACAGAAAGGTTTTTCTGTGTCTGGAATAGAAAAAAGTGGGTCCTGTAATTAGATGGCATCATGCAGTGCATGGCTGGCATTTCCTCTAACTTAAGCTGTAACTTAAAGAACCAATGGTGAAACATAAAACCGAAGGATTTCTCACCTTGATTCATCTTGTTTCTGGGAGAATACAATATCTCTTTCTGTGGACTGAATATGACAGTGAAACGCCCTTCATTAACACTAGCACAATTTCTCCTTTCCATCACATCCTTCCTTTCCACCCTCCATCTTTAAATCAATATTTAAGAGGAAGGTGGACTACATTGTCTGTGCTGCATATCTCTGGGGAGCAGCGAGTACTATGGGCAGCCGTTCTGCGCTGGGTTATACAAACTGGGATCAGACTGTATAGAGCGCAGACATTAAATCAATGTCTTATCCACAACCTCAGTCTGCCTGAGAACAATGCATTTCTGTCAGTAGATTATATTTGATCAGAAGCCCCTCACCCCTTACCTCACATCTCACTGCCCTGCACTTCTAATTTAAATAGGAAATAATGTACAATTAAAATCCATGACATTTTTTTATTTGTGTGTATTTTTAACATCATCTATCTCTATTTTTCCTGTCAGATTCTCCTAATCAAATTTCTCTCATAAGCTTTCATGCTTTTTTTTCCTTATATTACCCTCAATTTGAGTTCTTCTATCTGTCATACCATTCCTAAGTTATCCATATTTTTTAAATCATTTAATTTGTTTGCTCTCTAACAGGTGATATTTACATTTGGCAGATGCCCTTATCCAGGGCGACTTACATTTATCTAATTTTTTATACAAATGAGCAGTTGAGGGTTAAGGGCCTTGCTCAAGGATCTAGCAGTGGCACCTCAGCAGTGCTGGGACTTGATCTCACAACCTTCCAATCAGAAGACCAATGTCTTATCCACTGAGCTAACACTGCCCCTACGCCTAATAAATTTCATTAATTTTCTGTCATTTTCTTAACTTAACAGTATGTTGCAGGTAAAGATCTGCCAGAAGACTGATGCATATGACTTTCGTCACCTGGGTTCTGCATGTGGAACTGTCCCACAATGCACATCTCTGTACTAATGTCACACAGTCATTAATATTGATTCATTTAACTGGCAAAACATAATCTATAGAGGATAGCCTGGAGATTATTTTATTTTATTTTTTTTACACCTTGGAATAGATGCCATATTTGCAATTATCTGACTCACTTCATAAACCTGCAAGACCCATATCTCTCTCTCTCTCTCTCTCTCTCTCTCTCTCTCTCAGGCACTCCATACAGCAACAAACCAATAAAGTCATTACAAGCACAAGCCAACTTATCAAACAGCTCTCTGACATCATCAGCGGCTCCTCTCGGGTAAAATATTAATTTCATTTCTCTGACTTGTGTATCTCTTTCTCTGACTTGTGTATCTCTTGTATACCTTACATAATATACACCATGGAATGCAGTGACATTCTAGACATGGCTAGTGTATAATTTAGACTTGGACTGTCTGGGATTTTAGTGACGAATCAAGAAACAGTGCATAATTTGTGTCTAGGTTAAAGCTTTGTGTCAATATATTCTTAATAAAGTATGAAATGAGTGGATTGAGGCTATTAACATACAATAATGAGAAAGACTGCACCAGGCCATCAGCTAAGTGAATGATGTAATTGTTAAATATGACAGATGTATTATTAAATGTCTATTTTCTGCAGTAACTGATGAGTTTTCTCTCGACAGCCAGACCGGCTGCGTCTGACGAGGCTGAAGACAGAGCTGTCAGAGTCCGTGCAGCGTTATGGTGACCTGCAGAAGGTGAGACTACTGCTAAAGCTCTGTCTTTCTCAAACACCTAGAAAAAAAGACATCATTGCTTTATGGTCAGTTAATAAAGTATATGCAAAAAAAGTTGTCCTTCATTTGCGTGTTCATTCAATCTGCATACTGATGTTACTTTTCTTTCTCATCAGAAAATTGCAGACCGTTCAAGGGCCTTGCTTCCTCCAGCACAAAAAGACAGAAAACAGGTAAGTGGATCCAGGGGTGCAGTAAGGGGGTGGGGTGGGGTGGAGGGTGATGATGCGGTTAGGATAATTAAATATAAATAAAATAAATAATAATTAAAGAGTAGTTTTAGATACAGTGCCCAAAGCACCTTACATTCTGTCACAGTCTCAAAGAAAAAACCTTGGGTTATGAGAATTTGGTTTATAATTCAAATAAGGATTCCATCAAAAAAGCATATATTAGGCAAAATACCAAGGAAAAATAAAAATGGCGAAGACGGGATGTCACAGTTTTTCTGAGGTAGAGGTGGTCAAGCTATACTGAAGCTTTTAATAGAAAAGAAGCTTATGCTATAGTAACTGCAGTTGTCACATGGAAATGGCATGACAGAGCTGTCTATACTAAACCCCTATGTACTACTGGGAAATTTTAGCATTTAAGAGTTTTTTCCTCATAAATCAATAATAGAGTATACCCTCAAATGTCATGTTCTCAAGACCACTGAAATGAAAAAGTTTAACTTGAAAGTAAAAGTGAAGTACAAAGTGGTGCTAAGGACACTCATTAGCCTCCCCTTCTATCTTTCAATTTGGTTATGAATGACTGTAAAACCAGAATATCTCCATTACTCCATGACTGAAATGTATTTTGAACACCTGTATACCTGCTCATTCATGCAATTATCCCATCATCCCATTCCATCAGGTGGCAGCAGTGCAATGCAGATACAGGTCAAGAGCTTTACTTTATGTTCCAATATGATCTCAGTTACTTTGAGAGTGGCATGGTTGTTGGTGCCAGACGGGCTGGATTAAGTATTTCAGAAACTGCTGATCTCCTGCGATTTTCATACATAACAGTTTCTAGAATATACAAAGAATGGTGCCAAAAAAAAACTCCAGCAGTTCTGCAGGCAGATTGAGTTTACATGAAGGCTATGGTAACTCAAATATGCACTCTTTACAACCATGGTGAGGAAAAAGACATCTCAGAACACACAAGTTGAGCCTTGAGATGGATGGGTTACAACAGGCCACACTGGGTTCTACTCCTTCCAGCTAATAGCTGGAATCTGAGGCTACAGTGGGCACACATTCATCAAAACTAAAGTACCGAGGATTGGAAAAAGATCGCCTGATCTTTTTCCAATCTTTAACCGCCCAATTTCGGTGAACCTTTGCCCACTGCAGCTTCAGATTCCTGTTCTTGGGTGGCATCCTGGCAATCCCCGCTGCAAATGTACATCTGGCTTTGGAAGGTGGAGTGGAAGAAAGTGGAGAAAATTGTTCAAAAATCTGGCCCCCTCTAACTGCGCAAACTTTAGTAAATTAAGTAGAATAAGTAATCAGCAGCACCATATCGCCATGCTTTTTGTGTGCTGACGCTCCACTTTTCACACTACCATCATTTAAGTGTATATGTACGAAGAAGAGAGGAATATTTATAGCACATGTAGACTCGTGTGCCAGTTTTGTACATAAACGCAAAGTTATTTGAGCAAAATGTGTCCTAATTGTGACTGAGAGTGGATGCAAAACGTTTAGTGTTTATGCAGAGATAGACAGAACTCATCCCTGTATAGTAACAACACACCCAGGTTACAGCATATCTTTTAAATAATTCTGTATCGGAGATTAGTGTGAATAAGACATTTCACTGAGAGTTCCAAGATGAGAGGGAACAATTTCTGTAAGTGGCCACAAAATGACAACCCTTTTTTGAAGTGCATGAGAACTGACATCCATAAGGTCATATCCCTTCAAGCGTGACATCCAGTTGATATTGCATACTGTCATAGAATGCCAGAGCGACATGAAAGCATTTCTGACTTGGATGTCACTCCAAATTGCACATCAGAATTCCTCAGCTGTCATGCACCTGTGATGCAGACATGGCAGCACACAGATACAGATCTACACTCTCATCCAGACGCTCTCCCCCCAGACCTCTTTTTTCCTATTCACTTCACACACTACCTGAGCAGTGCCTGGAGTTGTTGCTTTCATGTGCAGTTCTGTCACTTGTAGCTGCTTCCCTGATGGCTTCCTCTCTGTTGTCAGTTCACCTTAGCCACCCCCAGCATTCATGAGCCATCAAACAGGATAGGTATTTGTATTACAATACAAATGCAAAGTTCACAAGCAAAACAAGCAGTGCTGTTTAAGGCCACAGGTGGAGTGGGTTGTATAGAGTCAGATACTATTTGAGCCTTGTCTGATTGCTGAGCTTCCTCTGAGTATCATTTCTTGGAGATCAAAGAGGGAAGTGGTTGTGTATCAGTGCCGGCGATCTCTGAGTATATCATCAAACTGACTTCCAATTTGTACAGAATCATTTCTGCAGGGAAAGCTCTTAGGTTGGTTCAATAAACCACCATACAATTTTCCCTAAAATATACACACTCTCATTTTTCTTACTTTGTCCTGCTCTCATAATGTATCTTTGTGTTTTAGAATCAAAAACAATTCTTTTAAATTCAGCATACTGTATGTGGATATATGTGTGTGCCACTGTAGAAAAGGGTAACACAGGAGATAATTATATTTCCTCTGAGCTTTTAATCTAGCTGGAAGTGATCCACCAAACAGAACAGATAATCATTCCAGAAAATAGAGTGATTTTTTTTTGGAGGTTACTGTCTGCTACAGTCATCCAGCTATTCTGTTAGTGATGCTTTTTTTTATACTTTGGACACTCATATTTTTCAAATATTGATTGAGTTTAGTGAATGCTGGTTATATCATCAAACACAGGATTATCTTCTGTTCCAAGTATAAAAGGAAAAAGAAGTTGCGAGGCTGTTTTTAGTGTTTATATCTTCAGACTGTGGCACTGCCTGACACAGGACATACAACAAGCATCTCTGGTTTGCAATCTTAAAAATCAGCTCAAACCATACATATCTTTTTACTTCACTTTGCTTTTGTCTAATTTTATATTTGTTGCATTTTTCACGTATTCCTTTATGCTTTTATTTTTATTTGCCTTTTTTCTAAGTGCTGGTATATGTTTTTACTTGATATACATATATATATATATATATATATATATATATATATATATATATATATATATATATATATATATATATATAGTGCTCACTATGCTAATTGCTGGTCGTATGCTTTAATTACACTAGCCAGTTTAATGCTAAAGGACCTAAATTTAGGCTCCAGGCATTTCTTGGCTGCCTGAATACATCTGAGGCAAGGGAAAATTGGTTTTGCCTTTAAGTTACTTAAAACTAATAAACGGAGAGTGATAGGTGAAAGCAAAGATTAATACTGAGTTAAAGTCATATTTAGACAATTTAGAAATTCATATGTTTGTTCATTGATGAAATCCCTGTGGAAATCATCTTCAGCTAGTAAAAAAGCTAGATACCAGATTTGATACCTTCCAGAATATGGAAATTCAGAAATATAGGCTATCCAGGGATTTCACTTTACTTCTGTGTTGGTTTGAATTGCAGGTTTGTGTAGCAAAGTGCTTTAGAAGTGCTGAGACTGAAACAGGGAGCAGGGAAACAAATTCAAAAAGCAGACAAGCTCTGGGTGATTTGCCTTTTAATCCATGGTTTTACACAATCAAAGAAAACTTCCTGCAAAAGGTTTTTGTTAATTACACTAACCCTTGCATCCTATTTGGATGCAAGCCAACAGAATCAGGTATATCTAGGAGATGGTAAAATCTAAATATGTAAATATTTAGCTGCCATAGCAGAATGATTGTTAGCAAGAGGTTAGCACAGAGGAGATGGTGCTCTTCAGTGTGTCATTGTGCTGGAATGAGATGTAGTCTATTAGCTGTGCTAATTCTGAGATGGAGGAAATGGAATATAATGAATCATCCAGTGAATAGCAAAAACAATAACTTGCCTCAGGCATCTTGTGTCATACATATGCAATTAGAAAAGAATTAGCAGAT